TATTAGGGTTTTGATGAGCTGATATTTAACGTTATTAGGGTTCTCATGCTCATCAAGACGTGAAAGTATGTTGATTTGCTACCTTTAATTAGTACTTAATTTTTGTTTATTATCATAAATTTTGGATAGATCATAGGTCAAAACAATCCAATTGTCCAAAAAAGATGAAACTAGTAATAAGACACGAGCAAGAAGAAAAGACATAGCCGTGAAAAAACCGTTTCAACCAAGGAGTTTGAGTGTTTCTCAGCCTATCCATCTTCACAGCCAACTCGACAACCTTATCTTTCCGGCAAATTAAAGCGTTCCAAGCTCTTAAGTCTAAGTCCGGTTCGGATATTTTTGTATAACGGTTCCGACCTGGTTTCAATTTTTTTCAATTCGGATTAAGATAGGGAGTTCGGTCTGGAGTAAAAACGACTATACCTAAGTGTGATTTTGCTTTAAAGCTTTCTTTAGTTTTGCTCGTGCCATTCATAATCGATTTATTATTATTAATTTATTATTACCAAGAGTAAGACTATGTCTTGTCTTCTTTGGTGGTCATAAAACAGTCCATATCCAACAAGAAACTATTGATGATAAAAGAGCACTTTCAAGGTTGATAAGGGCATTCACGTAGGGTTTCAACCAAAGTTGCATCCCTCTGAGAGCCAGGCTTGAACCTTAAAGTCGCTTCATCACACGCATAGTTCATCTTTCCGCTCGTTCCATCTCTGCCATCCGAAAAAAGCATTCCCGATCCGAACCGCACTTCACCTCTTGCCTTAATGTCCTCAACAATATTTTTCATAATCGCACCGTCCATGTCTCCCTCGGAAGCAATCAATGAAACTTTAAGCATCAGCGCCGCCCAGATGTAACTGCTCACTCTCACATAAAGAGTTAACCTTAATTAGCTATCCGAAACAATTATATGACACAAAATTTCTTAAAAGTGTGACAAAGAAGATAAATCGATCTACAAGAAAAGAAAATGGAGTATATATTTAATTAGAGTTTGTACCTCTCTATTGGTGAAGTAGCGATGGTTACACCGTTGTAAGATATGTTAACCTTATAATCTCCATTGCGACACAAAAAGCAAACAGGATTTTCTGGAGCGATTCTTATCAATAGATCCCATTTTACACTAAGACGAGTCTCAGTCATATTAAGCACGGTGAAATCCATAGAACGTATTGTAACATCCAGTCTACAGTTTCTGGCATCATATGCAATGTTATAATATGCAATGACGACAAGGGCGGTTAGCAACACCGTGATGAGTATGCAGGCATAGAGATTGAGAAGCTTATCTATTTGGTTGAGCTTTTGAGAGGTGGGACTGGGAATTAGTGCTTCCTTTTCCATGTTGTATAAAAGAGATAGAGAGAGGGAAGCTTATGTATACATATGTAAAAATGAAATGTAAATAACTTATTATATAAGGTTAGTACATATACAGCTGTAAATACTAAATAATTTCTTTCTTTAAATGATATTGATATAATGAGCACATATCTTCTCAAAGATATACTTTCTTTTTATATGAAATATGGATTCAACAACCTATCTATATTATTATTTGTGGAGATTTGTTCAAAAGGAAAAAAAAAACTATTATTTGTGGAATGACTATTTGCATTCCAGATTTATGTTAAAATTTTAAAAAGTTAAAGTCTTTGTTACCTTTAATAAATAATATGATTTGTTAATATATAATTAATCATAAATAAAAAAGAATTCCAGTGCTTTGATAATCATCATTATTTAAAAATAGTTTGTATTATCTTATCTAAAAAATTATTTTACACCATAAATCAGAAGTCATATAATTGATTAGAAGTAATTTTTCTCATTCGAGTTCTCACGTTAAAAGAAGTTAATATCGTTTATACATTTAATGAATAAAATACATAAATTGTCTAAAAATAAAAATGAATTTAAATTATTTGATTAGATAAGTGATTAACCATTTATATACATTCAATGTACTCTACGGATAGAGGAACAATAATAAGAATGATCTAAAATCTAAAAATATATTTTAAAAATTTAAAAAATAATTCTGATATATATATATATATACATGTGTGTGTGTGTGTGTGTGTCATTATTTGAAAAATATCTGTTAATAAAAAGTTACAAATTCAAAAAATATAAAATACATAACTAATATTAATCAAGTAACATTTTTAATTTTACAGAACTGAAAAGAGAATATTAAGTGAATTTAAAGATTTATGTATAAAATTAAATTTTCATTAAATTATATTACATAAGAAATTTTAAATGAAAACATAAATAATAATTTAGCATTATATTTCTAATTAGTAATATATGTATTAACAAGTAATTAATAATGTTTAGATTCGCATATGCAAATGAAACATCTACAAGATTAGTGAATATCTATAATATTTTGTTTAATTAATAACTTAAATATTAATAAATAATTATATGTATGTATATGCGGATGAGACACTTATTAAAGAGTATTAATGAGATAATTGAGGGTAAGTTCTAGCAAAAAAATTAGGCTATTAGCTTTGCCATCTCTTGACAGTTCCATTAACGGAAGAGCTCAAGTCTACCAATGGAAATCAACTTTTCAGCATCTCTACTGTAGTAGCAAGTTTTGATGAGCTGATATTTAACTTGATTAGAGCTACAATGTTCAAGACATGAAATATGTTGATTTGCTATATTTAATTAGTACGTACTTTTAGATTATAATCAGATTATTTAGATAGATCGTAGGTCACAACAATCCACTCCTCCAAAAAGATGAAACAAAATGTAGCAAAAAGACACGAGCAAGAAGAAAAAAAAAACATAGCCGTTGAAGAAAACCCGTTTCAGCCAAGGAGTTGAGTTTTTCTCAGCCTATCCATCTTCACAGCCAACTCTGCAACTCTATCTTTCCTTCCTTCATCAAGAAGCGCTTGTTTAAGCCGACTAAACATATGCACCGGTGCCTTAATACCCACATCCAACATCTCATTAAAATACACACAAGCCTCATCTAACTTATTCTCATTACACAAAGCCGTAATCAAACTAGAGAACATATGCATCCCAGGAAGAACACCTTTCCCTTTCATCTCATCCCAAATCTTAATCGCCATATCCAACCTCTCTTTATTACAAAACATCCTCACCATAATCTCGTAAGTACTCACCGTCGGTTCACAACTCATCTTCTGAAAAACCTCATACGCTTCTTTCGTCCGCTGCAATCTAACCAAATGATGTAAGATTATATCATAAGTTCTAGCATTTGGTCCAATCCCTTTTAACCTCATCTCTTCCACAACCTCAAAAGCCTCTTCAACCCTCTGTGACCAACAATAAGCTCCTACCAACGCGTTGTAAGTAGGAGCTTCAAGAGGAAACCCCGAGTTCTTCGATCTCTCGAAGAACTCAAGGGCTCGGTTTAACTTCCTCTCTGAACCAAACCCATTAATCAAACTACAGAAAACATGAGGACTCGGCTCAACACTCCTCATCTCCATCTCATCAAAAAACCCAACAGCCTCATCAAGCTTCTTAGCCTTACAATACGCGTTAATAACAATCCCATAAGTAACAACATCAGGCTCAAAACCCTCCTCCTTCATCTCCCCATAAACCTCACCAACTCTCAAAAGATTCATCTCCTGACCCCACCCTTCAAGTAAAATCGCATAAGACTTAACATCAACCTCAAACCTCCTCCCTTTCATTTCATCGAACACCTTCTGTGCATCACCAACGTTTCTTGATTTACTCAAAGTATCAAGCAACCGATTAAAATCCCCACTTTCCATCGTAAAACCAAACTCCTCCATCCTCTCAAAGGCCCTGATAGCGTCCTTAACTTTCCTCGCACGTGCGTAACGTCTCGAGATCAAGGCGAACGTGTCTTTGCTCAAAAGCCTCTTGTCTTTCATTTCGTCTACTAAGGTCCATATGAGTTTGAACTGTTTGATCTTGCCTAGGGACTCGATGAGGGAGTTGTAAGTGGAGGTTGTGTGTTTGTAATTGGGTTGGTGGGTCTCTGCGTGTCTGAAGAGGGAGAAGGCTAAGGCTCCTGCGTTGGTTAGTTTTTTTAGTGTTTCTTCGAGGAGGGGTGGGGAGAGGGTGATTGAGGATTGGGAGAGGAGGGTTTCGAGGGGGGTTGTTGGGTTTGTGGATTGGGAGAGGAGTTTGCAGAGTTTGTCGGAGTCTTGGGAGAGTTTGAGTTGGGTTTCGAGGGGAGTGTGGGATGGTTTTTGGGGAGTAAAGTTTGGAGCTTTATGAGTAGATGGAGTCGAGGTCTGTTCTTTGATAGAAGAGATTTTTCGGTAGACATGGCGAGAGGGATGGTGGCCTCCGGGGAGTTTCCCGGCGATGCGGAAGATGCGAGAGAATGTCATTGGAGGAGAAACTCAGAATTTCGTTTTCGGTTACCTTTTTAAATGTCTGGTTTTTCGGTTTCGGTTTAGTTTTTTCATTGGTATAAAAGAAATAACCGATTGAATATTTACGAAGTTTTGGTTTGATGTCATTTCGGTTTGATTGGTTCTTAGTTTTTTTATTGGTATAAAAGAAATAACCGATTGAATATTTACGAAGTTTTGGTTTGATGTCATTTCGGTTTGATTGGTTCTTTAAAAACATGGTATTCCCACCGTTTCAAATTAATTGTCATTCTAAAGAATTTTTTTGTTTCAAAATAAATGTTGTTTTAAAGTTTCGAAACAAAATTTATTAGATTTATATGATATTCTATTTTTCTATTGGTTAAAAAGTGGTTAGATATTCTATAAGGTGGAGGTCAAGAATGGTGAGAAGTCTTCGTTTTGGTATGAAAACTGGTCTTCTCTTGGTATACTAAGGGATTTGATGGGTAATGGAGGGCGTGTTGGTTTTGGTATAGCAGATAATGCTAAAGTAGTTGATAGTTTACATCATAGACGGAAGAATCACCGTTACCTGATTTTGAACAGGATTGAAATGGAGATAGAGAGCTTCCAAGCGCAGAGGAATCCAATAGAGGAAGATGTCTCATTATGGAGAAATGATAAAGATAAATATAAGAGGAGGTTCTATGCTGCTGAAACCTGGAGGGCTACAAGGGGATACTATCCCACTTATGACTGGTATAGTGCAGTGTGGTTCAAGCACGCAACACCTAAGTTCGCGTTCATAGTCTGGATTGCTATGCGGGACAGACTATCAACGGGGAGTAGGATGCTGCTATGGAACGCAAACATTGACTCTTCCTGTGTTTTCTGTAATGAGCCCCTGGAATCAGTTGATCATCTCTTTTTTGATTGCAGTTATTCGAAGCAGGTCTGGGAAATTTTGGCTAAAGGTATTTTGAACTCAAGGTTCACTACGAACTGGTCTGAGTTAAAAAGAATTGTTGTGAATGAGAAACAGGATAGGCTTCTCCTTTTTACTCTTCGATATGCGCTTCAAGCTACTGTCCACAGCGTTTGGAGGGAAAGAAACAGAAGAAAACATGGAGAGAAAGCTTCTCCTGCGATTTTGTTGGCTAAGGTAATTGATAAGATAGTGAGAAATAAATTCACTATCATTCAGGCTGCTAAAGATAAGAAGCTGGTTGGTGGTTTGCAGTTCTGGTTTTCCACTAGACATGGCTGAGTGTGTTCTATTTTTATGAGGATGTGTGATGGGAATGATTTGATCCAGTAGGAGTGAGAGCTGGTTATCCAGTAGGAGTGAGGGCTGGGTAAAAAAGGAGTGGGAGGATTGAATACCAGTAGGAGTGAGAGCTGGGTGTTTAGTAGGAGTGAGTGCTAAACATGTTTAAAAATGGAGAATGAGATAATTGGAAGGAGGAGGAGTTCGAAGATCTTAGTTTTTTTTTCTTTTTCAAGCTTTGTTTCAATGTTATTTACATAAACATTAGGCAAGGACACACTATGTGTAACAAGGTCTTTTTCTTTTTGAATCAAATTTAACATTTTATTCAAAAAAAAAAAAAAAAAAAAGTGGTTAGATGTATAGGTAATTGTGTTTTTATATTGAAAATATATAAAATTAAATGTTTTCTTAATTTGTGTGTAAAAACTTAAAATGACAATTAAAATGAAACAGAAGGAATAATATTTATGAGTTATTTTTAATTAAGTTTTGGTTAGATTTTGTTTTTTTAAAGATAATTTAGAGTAGCTCAGTTAAGAGTTTGATCTCGGATCCCACTTTATTTTTTCATTTTAAAATAGAGAAATCAAAATATTTTAATAATATTCTATTTTTTTGTTTGCTAATAGAGTAATATTAGAATAGAATACTATATTTATGAAATACTATTTTTTCAGTTTGGTTCTTTAAAAACATGGTAATATTTATGAGGTTTGTTAAGTTTTGTTCGATTTTGACTTTTTCAGATAATTTAGGATAATTCAGCTAAAGGGTTAGATATTTCGAGTTTTCAATTAAATGTTCCATAATCAATTTCTTCAGATGAAAATGTTAAGTAATTTGGATAATATTTTCAATAGGAGTATAACTTATTTTATTCAAACAATTAAATATCATATATATTTTTGGTAAATATTTTAGAAAACTAAATATCCATTTGATTCATTATTGATCTAATTCTGGCTCGGTTTCAGCTTACATGAACCGTACAAATGTTTTAACATCAATTCAATTTGGGTTTTCTCGGTTCTTCTCGTTGAAAATGCCAGGCTTACTTTAAACCCACTAGCCGTTAACTAAGTGATACAACAAGAACAAAGGTGGACGACGACAAATGCCTTAACAAAAGGAGTTACAAACAAATCTCTCCTTTATCTTCTCCTCGTATAGATACAGCCCCACTATTATCCAAAGAATTAACCTTTTCATACAGACCTTTCAGACATAAAACAAAATGTAATCCCGTGTCGTGTCCCGTGTAATGATTCATAGAATCCCACCATTTCTCATTCACTTGCACTGATTTGTCTGTGAGTTCAAATCATCAAGAAAATTCGTTATCGTCTCATCCAACTTCTTACCCTGAGTACCAGCTTTCACCACATTAACATCACCCCACTCCGAGCAAGGATCATTCCACCAGCTACTATGACTCGCGCACCAAGCTCCAGGAGTGACTCTATACCGTCCCCGTTTCAAGATCTCCCTATCAACCATATCAAGAACCGGATTGTCTTTCTTGAACTGCCTCGCGAAAGCTGATCCGCTCGAAGCCATTTGCTCGAAATCCGGTGTGGTGAGAAAGTGTGGTTCCATCTTCGGAGGACTGTCCCATATCATGTAACGTAAGTCAGCGTTGATGGTTGTGTTACTGAACTCTGGAGCGTTGCAGATCACCGTGTGGAAGTAGCATTCTTCTGAGAGGATGACGTTGTTGAAATACATGAGGAGGGTTCTTGGTAGGTTGTCCCAACCGAAGATTGTGTATTCTAGAAAAGATCTGCTTAGTACAATCCACGGTGAGCCTGCGTCACATGACAACTTGTTAGTTTATATGCATATTAGATATGTAGTCACATAGACCAGCCACATAACTAAACACAGCGTTAGAAAGGGAACTAAGAACATATTAAGGCCATGTTTATTGCGGGTTGGGGTTCTTAGCGTAATATAAGAACCGTCTCTTAACTTTTAACTAAGAAAACTAAGAACGACTTTTTAATAAGAGTTTTAAGAACCGGTTTTTAGTTTTCTTAGTTAAAGTTAAAGTACGGTTCTTATATTACGCTAAAAACCTCATCCTAAGAACCCCGTTAAACATGACCTTTGTGAAAGTATTATTAGGTACTGAGTCTTATAACCTGTAAAGACTTTAAATGCATCTGGTGTTGGTCTTTTCTCAGTAGCAGTGAAGAGCTGTGTTCTTCTAGCTAAGTAAATTGCTGGATCCACAACAATAGGCTTGATTCTTTGAGATCTATAGAAAGAAACTATTATTCATTATCCACACTGAATATAAAAGAAACAGATTTAATAAAACATTGTAAGTATATACTTACTCTTTCCAAGCAAGATCACTAGTATGATCTATGAAGTTGACACTTCTGTTCACCGAGGCAAACACATGAGACAGGTCTGAGAGATATATCATATGAAGACAAATAAAAAAAAAAGTGAGTGTAGTAATAAATATCAAAAGCTTGTGTGTTTGCAATACAAAGATCAGTGTCCTTATCACATTTTTCCACTTACTTTCCACAAAAAGAACTTAGCCACAATCTCAAAAAAGCTAATAGTGGAAACTATAAGACCAGACATAACAAAGCACATACCATCTTGAGTAACAAGAGGATAATCCAAAGCACTCAACTCAATAAACCAATTCCAAGAACGACCAAGCTTCAACAAAATCGACACAGCATGAAGAGTAGAAGCGATCTTAGAGGCACCATTATCAGACAAACGATCAACTTTCCCCAACACATCAACATTCCCAAAGGCACTCACAGCAGGCACAGATTTCAAATCAGAGAGAAGAGCAACCCTCTCCCCATCAGTAGCTTCAGCTCCAAGATGAAGAAGATACCGGTTCCTAGGGTGATAAACCGCGAGAAGCAACCGGAAGATCCGGTCACCGTCACCACGGCCTCCGGTTATGTAATAAGCGAAAGATGGAGGGTAGTGAGGGCCGTGACGGATAGGGGAAGGGAAAGGGTTAGAGGTGAAAGCAGAGATGGAGTAGAGCAAGAGGAGGAAGAAGATTGAGAGGAAAGCTACGGAGAAGAGTGTGAATAGCCATTTCTTCTCAGCTCCCATCGTTTTTGCATCTACAGAGATGAGATCTTGATTTTGGGGGGAATGAGATCTTGATCGGTGACGGAGAGAAGAAGCAATGAATAAAGACAAGATGGAGGTTAGAGGAGAGAGTGGAAGAGAGAGAGTGAGAATAAAGGTTAGGGTTGGGAGAGAGAGAGAGAGAGAGAAGGAGACAAGGATTCTCTCAGGTACAGGTTTCGATCTCCGATCTCAGTTCGGTTTTTGAGCTTTTTAACTCGGTTTTTAACAGTACTTTCTTTAACTATTCGATTTCTCTTTAGCGCGTGTGATAGACGCTTCTTTGATTAATTCATGAGAGATCTGCGTGGTTATCACACGCTGATTAGAGAGAGTATAAATAAAGTGGATCGGGTGGTTAACTGGCTTTAAACATACAAAGTAGATTATGTCTTAACTCCTGAAATAGTAACTGGATTGTATCATTTATTACTTGTTCATTCGTAGTAAGTAAAGTTTACCCTTTTGGATCTTTACAGTAATTATTCAGACACAACGTCTTACGTTCGGAAATATTGTTGTTGTTGATATAAGTTTGATGTTGTTACACGGAGCTGACTTCCACGGCTACTAGCAACTACTTTACAAAGCGTTGTTCAGGAAGATAACTTTAAGTTTCTTTGGCAATCAGAACTCTATGTACTAGCAACCAACGCTCAACCAACCATATGTATATGAAACTACGGTTTCTAAAGCAAGAGACTGTTATGATCTTAGATCATAAACTCCTTTATTGATAGAAAGAGAGCAGATACAAGCAGAAACTCAAGCTAAGATCCCATGGCGATCTCATCCTAAGCTCCATTCATGATCTCATGGCGATCATGAATCACAAAACTCATAACGTTTCATGCAAGTTTCCACAATATTCAGCATTATTCTCTAAAGCTCTCATCTCTTCTATTTATACTCCTTGAGGTCTCTACAAGAAAACCCTCTGACTAAAACGGAGTCTCTTCGCTTATTATGTTGCAGCTGCCAAGTCAGCACTATCTCAGCACATATCAGAGACTAAGCAGTGATGAGAAGTATGACAAGTTTGTCTTGTGTTATTTTCTTTAATTCTATGCATTGAAACCTTATTATCCAAACAAATCAAAGTCTGATTCCTAAGAAACTATAATATGGCTATAAGATAGGACTAAGTATGCTAAATGATATCCTGATAACTATAACCTGAGTTCTCTTAGCTTCCCAATTTTTAATCTTTCCACTTTAGTCTGCAGATTATTACAGAGCATAAAAGATTCTAAACCAGACCGATAAACTGAACAACATCAAGTTTATCTAGATCACATCTGGAAGTAGACTTCAAAAAGAGAACTGGGAATCTAAGACTGAGAGGCACATCTTGAAGCAAACTTCCATCTAAAAATAGCACTACTTTCACATGTGACCTTAGGTTTTACCAAGCATTACCAAGTTAGTTGTTAATGCTTTTCCATTAACAACTGAAACTCTGTTTTTAAGAAAATGAAACTGTGTTATCCTTCTTCTTGTGTAGAGTTCCTGACCTCTTTCTTTTCAATGGAAACAAATTTAAATTCATCTGCGAATACATATCACCCCAACATTAATGCTTTTCCGTTAACAAAATCATTTTTTTGTTGTAACGAAAACAGAAAAGATAAAAAAGTGGGGCGTTCCGAGAATCGAACTCGGGACCTCTCGCACCCAAAGCGAGAATCATACCACTAGACCAAACGCCCACCTGTTATAAACTGAATAAAAATGGTAAGTTACATCCGAAGTGCAGATCAGAGCTTCTGGAAGGTCATTGATCCGTCTTCTGGGCGTTACTTGTTTCTTCTCTAGAGTGATTTAACATCTTTGGGAGGACGATCAACGATTGATCAAGGTGAATCCATCAATAACACGAAGATTCAAACTCTCGACGTAAGAGGTTTTTCTTTTGGGCCGCAGACGTAACGTATCGGGGGATCCATCGGATTTTCGGATCCGAACCATGCTTTTAATATGTTAAACTAATTATATACGAACACGTGTCATGTATTCCACGTGGACATGTTTGATTTGTTGCTTCCCACGTGTTGATTTGAAGTAGCGCGGTAGTGGTACGATTTGTTCGGTCCGGATTTAACTTAAAACCGGTCCGAGGGAAAAAAGTGTAAATCTTTCTTGTAGATGTAATGGAGATCAGTTAATATATTAATTTTGGTAAATAAGTGATATCCACTTGAAAAACAATGTTTTATATTTGTGTTTGTATGCATTCGTACCCAAAATGGCATGAATCGTGCAGTTACAAGCTACGTGATATCTTTATTTCCTGGTTTTAATCATCTAAAATAGTAAAGCATCATCGTATTCTCACATGCTTCCTTCAGAGAGATATTTTTACACGGGACAGTGATCTTTCTTAAAATAAAATAAACCAAAGAGACGGACCACCGTCATTATATCCAATGGTGGAGAAAGGTTGCTTTCGACGCTAGTGGGATTGGAATCTGCGGCGAACTTATTGCAAAACATGTTATGTCTTCAATTTCAATTTTATACTATAATTTATAGAACGAAGATCCGATTGAATTAATTTTTTGCAAAAATTAAATCCCAAAATAATAATGCCTCTTTACTTCACCATTCAATAAAATCCAAATAGGATAATACTCATGGCCTCTGATTGGTGACAGATTTTGTTATAATCACATAGTTAAATATAGTTAAATACGTATAATGTAAATAGGATATCTTGAGAAATTTGCGTATATATATAAACTTTAGGTTAACCCTTTTTAAAACCGACCGTCAAATAAGACGAATACGATTCTTCTTAGGTTCTGTCCTTGTAAACTCTCTCCCCTTTTAAAACTCCAACATCACATTATTGGTTCCATCCAACACACAAACCAAATCTTATTACAATGGGTTCCGCCTTCGATCCTCTTGTCACCCCCTCAAACCTAACCCAAGACGAACTCAAGAAACGCGCCGCCTACAAAGCCGTCGAGTACGTCAAATCCGGAATGGTCGTCGGCCTCGGCACCGGCTCCACCGCCAAACACGCCGTCGCCCGCATCGCCGAGCTTCTCCGCCAAGGCAAACTCCAAAACATCATCGGAATCCCGACATCCACCACGACGCACGAGCAAGCGGTCTCTCTAGGCATACCGTTATCCGATCTCGACTCCCACCCCGTCGTGGATCTCTCCATCGACGGCGCCGACGAGGTCGACCCTTCCCTCAACCTCGTCAAGGGACGCGGCGGATCGCTTCTCAGGGAGAAGATGGTGGAAGGAGCGTCGAAGAAGTTCGTCGTGATCGTGGATGACTCCAAGCTTGTGCCTCATCTCGGAGGAAGCGGGCTCGCTGTTCCCGTGGAGGTTGTTCCGTTCTGCTGTGACTTCACGAGGGGGAAGCTTGAGGAGCTTTTTAGAGAAGCGGGGTGTAAGGCGAAGCTTAGGGTTAAGGAAGAGACGGTGGCGGTGACGGATAATGGGAATTATGTGGTGGATCTGTATTTGGAGAGGGATATGGGAGATTTGGAGGCGGCGAGTGAGAAGATTTTGAGGTTGCCGGGAGTGGTGGAGCATGGGATGTTTTTGGGGATCGCGACGACCTTGATCGTCGCCGGAAAATCCGGTTTATTGGTTCAAAATAGGTCTGGGGTAAAAGGGTAATTTCATGGGGGGGGGAATTAGGGTTTATGGTTTGGGTGTTTTTTGGTTTAAGATGGATCTTTTGCTTCTGTAAACCCTTTGACTTATTCTTGGTCGGTATGTAAGTGTTTGACTCTTTGAATGCTTACTGTTTGGTTTGTTTTAGACAAGTGCAATTGCCAATGTAGTCCCGAACTTTCTCTATTTTACAAAAATAAGCTGAATACTTTATACTGTTACTCAATTGCCCAAAACAAACTAGATATGGACGAAAACAATAACATTAGAAGAAAGGAGGAGACTAGAAGAGTAGCAAAGTTTCACTCTCTGGCGTTTAAAATGTGATGTTGGTGGTAGCAAGAGACATGAGATTGAACGGTCTGATCTTGTTTTTGTTCCCATTCCACAAAGCTTTTGACATTAGATGGTAAGTTCGTTCTGTGGGATGATAAAAATCCCAAAATATAAACTCGTTTGGGTTATTGCAAATCTTGTATCCTTCTTTTCCACACTGCTTCAACCCTCCCAGTGTCCCGCCCCCACAACACGCGTTCGACACATCCGTAAACCCTTTAACCAAGAGCATAATTCAAGTTACTAATATACACACTTGAAAATTTAGTTAATCAGCTATATTATTTACCGTAGCGAGCAGGGTAGGTTTGGAATCTGTGAGTGATACCATATACAGCTCCAAATACCGCAATGGCTCCAGGGTACTTGGTGGGGATTATGTTCACTATCTCCTCAAGTCTTTTGTTATACTTCTTGGCCATAACATTCATCTTGCCAAAGCATTTATTGGTTGGCGCATTAGGAAGCAAGGCTCTTGCAGGGACACATCCTACTGGACCTAAAGAGAAGATGGCGATGCGACGAGCTCCTAGTTTGTAGATTTTATCAATGGTTTTGTTAACTTGGGTTAGCATTGAGTCTACATAGTCGTCTGGAGAGAGTGTAGTAGTTTGGAATGGGAGAAAGTAGTTAAAGACGTCGTTGGAACCAGACTCGAATAAGAAGAGTGATTCTTGGATTATAGATTTTTCTATTTGGTTTTGCTCTACAAGTGTCTGGAATTGCTGAAGTTGGGTTTGGATTGGTGTCACTTCCTGCAGTTATACGTGTTAACGGATGATACATAAGAAATGATCATGTTTGAGTTATTAGTTACCATGTCTTTGTTGGTATCAAGCAAGAATCCACTACCGGCACTGGCGAAGTTAATGCCATTTGAAGGGAAACGTTTCAAAGTTCCGTTCAAGATTCTGATCTGCAGTTCCAAGAACGGTTTCTGCAATGGAAGACCTATGAATTGTGCTGCAAGGAATAAAGAAAAGAGAGAAGAGTGAGGTGCCTTGAGGGACAAGCTTTATTGAAAACCCTAAGTAATCAAAGAGTTAGGGAATGTTGTTACATATGAAGTCAGCTACGGTTCTTCCATTGGTGAACCTCCCGGTGGGCTGGTGGAAGAAGGAAGAGCCATAAGGAGGAAAATCAGCCTGAGCAGTGCAGTTTTTGTTGAAATGATTGTTTCCAGCGTCGAAAATGGAGTCACCGAAGGTAAAGATGGCTGGAAGGGAGGGAGAAGACTTAGCCAGAGTCACCGGCGAGGCTAGAAGGAGCAGAGCGAAGAGTAAGTCCATTGGAGAAGAAGACATGTGTCAGGATCAGTTCAAACAAATTAGTTATATATATGAACCAACCCCACACAATTTAAATTAGTGTTTAGTCACATTGAAATTGAGGTATGGAAAAATTTTGAAACGGAAGGTAAGAGCATTGTTCATGTTTCTGCACTTTCTCTTTGGTGTGATTAAAGATTTAAGTTTTGAAGTTGTTCCTAATTTTCTGTATCTTATTACAAGTTACATGATTTCTGTAACTTTGGTCTCTTTCAAAGAATATTAGAAGAGAAAAAGAATATTCGTTTTTCGTTTGGTGTTTAGACTAATCATGGATTTATACTTTCTACCTATCTGATCGGAAGTGAATTATTGAATTGGTTTAGGTAAAAAGGTGGAGATGAAAAAAATATTGATCAAGAAAAAAATGAAAAAAAAACTATGGAGTTGATACTGTAGCTTTCGTTTTTTTTTTCTGTTTTAGAAAATTAGCTGTGATTTTCTTACACAAACTTTAATATTTTTGCTGTAGATTTATTTTCAAAGCATTGATAAAATGTGTAGAAAAATTACTTTGGAAAGTTAACATATTTCTTTTTCTAATATTTTTGATGTAGTTTTTTATTACTAAAACATGATTTATTTATAAAAATACTTTAGAAAGAAAAAATGATGTCCAAAAAAAACTCTAACTATAAGTGATACAAATTCCTTAAGCATCAGAAAATATATATAAATATTCATTTAAAAATATATTTTTAGAAAACATATTTTTCTTGAAAATAAAAAACAACTACAATTCTTTCTTGCAATTATAAATGGACCATATGGGCCTGGTCTCAATTTCATCGATATCAGGACAAAAAAGTGTCGTCATTCATTTCCCCAAAAAACTAAAATAAAAAAATCTAGGCATCAGGAAAAAGGAGATTCCACAAGAATAAAAACATATTCTCAAAGCATCAAAAATGCCCCAAACCCACAGGGAGAGCCTCTCCCTTTATTACCACCCCAAACACCAAACCCTAATTTTTCAAAATCCACCTAAATCCCTAAATGAAGCGTATCGTCAGAATCTCAGTCACCGACGCCGAAGCCACCGATTCCTCCAGCGACGAAGACTCAACAACAACACAACCTCTCCGCCGTGGAAAACGCCTCGTCAAGGAGATCGTAATCGACCCTGGAGATTCCGACAACAAACACGATGTCTGCTGCAAGACACGGTTCAAGATCAGGATCCCTGCTGAGTTTCTCAACGTCGAGACGACAAATGAGAAAAGGAGGAAGTTTCGTGGCGTTAGGCAGAGGCCGTGGGGGAAATGGGCGGCTGAGATTAGATGTGGACGAGCTTTGAAAGGGAGGCGTGATCGTCTCTGGCTTGGGACTTTTGATACTGCGGAAGAAGCTGCTCTTGCTTATGATAACGCGGCTGTTCAGTTGATTGGACCTCACGCGCCTACTAATTTTAGTTTCCCGGAGGAGAAGCAAGAGGTGAAGAAGGTAGGATCCACAGTTGCTCAAGGCGCGTGAGTTAGTAACTCTTTTTTTTTATGTTGTAATGGCTATGACTGTTTTTAGTTTAGTTATGTTTTGTAAATCAATTTGTCTTTGTTTGAATCTCTCTTATGTTCCTTCCTTAGTTTGTTGTCGTGTCTGTGTATATATCCGTTGAGATCGACGATGAGATCGAAACCGTGGAATAAAGGTTAGGAAGGTGAGATTGGTTTTAATTGGGGTTTAGATTTTCTTAATCAAAACCAACCAAATCAAATCGATTGGTTTAAGTAAGATATTCGTAATTTCGTACCGATAAACACAATCTATGTACTCTAAACCAAACCGAACTTCAGTTGAACCGAGTATTAACCAAGCTAAACCAAATTGACTTCGAAGAATGTTCACCCCTAATTTAAAATGATTTCTTGGTTTAACAAATATGTAAAGCTAATCTATCTGTAATATCTCAAATTGTGATATATTAAAATATTTTAAGAGAATTGATTTAGTGATCTATGTTTTCAAAATTTATTTACATTTTTTGTTGTTATACATTCGTTTAGTATTCAATGATTAAATGTGTTTGGATTGGAATAATAATGAAAGAATAGATAATCTATTGAAAAGTGATTTGTAATATCATATGAGTGAGTGAGGCCAAACTACGAGGAAAGTTAGGATGATGATTATAGGATTAATAAATCAAATTTTAGAACCTTGGAAAAATGAAAACGAAATCTATCAGATGAGATAGGATCCATGTGTTGGAAGAGCAGATGTGAATGATGTATTATTGGGCGTTACACAACACTACACATTTCTTGTTTTTATAAATGTACGTGGTTACTCGTTAGTAAAACTTAGGTTTCGAATGGATGAAGCAGTTCAAAATATGTAGATCAACACATAATGCAGATCAAACAGAACAAATGCAGATCACGTAGATCATGCAGATCAAATGCAGATCTAACTGGTTAAACTAATTTATCGAATTCTCGCATATAACTGAATACTAAAAAATATATAAGTTAAATATCCAAACAAAATACAACCACTGTATTTATGCACTAATGGCTTCACTAAAACTAATTATATATGTTTTTGAATCTTTTGATCCTTGTATGTGTCAGCTATACATATGTTATACTTTCAGGGTTAAATAAAAACACTAAAGAAAAACTGTCATTAGTTGGGAATTTCATTTTGTTTTCTTTCCTAATTTGCTATTAGAAGCCTAATGAAAACTTTAGACGGCTGGAGGAAGAGTTTTCTCCTTATCTTTTCTAGAGGTGTAGAAGAATCATAATACGGCAAAACGCAAAATTCCAAAAAGAAATACTTTAAAATAACGGACATTTGACAGATCAAACATTTTTTGAAGAAAACAAGAAAAAGAGTGAGGAAACATATTGAGTGGGCTATAAAAAAAAGCAAACCAAAATCTTCTTATGTGATTGATTTGAATTTGAATATGTGTGGTTCACAAACGTTGAAGAGTTTTTGTTTTTGTTTTATTTTAGTGCCTTGAACAGGAAGAAACAACCATATATTGCAAATACTATAACCAATACTAAACTAAGTTTTAACCAATCAAAGAACTTTAGATTTTGTTCCTAGTTCCTACTCTTTTAACAAATTACAATGTGTATTGGTAGTTTCAATTTAGAAGCTTTCACCAATTGTTGATCTCTGATGCGCTTTCTTGATTTGGGATCATATTGGCCCAATCAGATCCAAAGAACACATGCACTGGCCGCTAGGTGAGACTCTGCATCTGGAGGAAGTGTAAAATCATAATACGACACTCCGCTAAATTCCACAAATATAAATAAATACTATACTATAAAGTAGGGAAGACCTTTTATTATTATTACACAACAAATCTCGAAGTCTCCGGAGAAACAGCAGAGAAACCAGGAAAAATGGACACGCCTGAGAAGGCTTTACTCGCCGGAGGAGAAGAAGAAGAAATCAACACAAGAGATGGGTTTCTCAAGGAAATGAAGAAGCTCAGCTACATAGCAGGTCCTATGGTTGCAGTGAACTCTTCCATGTACTTTCTTCAAGTCATATCTATCATGATGGTTGGCCATCTCGGTGAGCTTTACCTCTCAAGCACTGCCATCGCCGTTTCTTTCTGCAGTGTCACTGGCTTTAGCCTCGTTGTATGATCTCTTTCTCTCTATTCTCTCTTTCTTGAAAAGCTATATTAAAAAAATTAAAGATCTATATTTATGTAAATTATTTTTAAAAATAATTTGTTTACAGTTTGGATTGGCTAGTGCGTTGGAGACATTATGTGGACAAGCCAATGGAGCTAAGCAGTTCGAGAAGCTTGGAGAACATACTTACACAGGGATCATCTCTCTGCTCATTGTCTCCATCCCTTTGTCTATTCTCTGGAGTTACATGGGTGAGATACTCTCATTCATAGGACAAGATCCTCTTGTTTCTCAAGAAGCAGGGAAGTTTGCAACATGGCTCATACCAGCACTCTTTGCTTACGCGACACTCCAGCCGCTTGTTAGGTTTTTCCAAGCGCAGAGTTTGGTTTTGCCTTTGATTATGAGCTCAATATCTGCTTTGTGTTGCCATGTTGTTCTTTGCTGGAGCTTGGTTTTCAAGTTTGGGCTTGGAAGTTTAGGTGCAGCTATTGCGATTAGTGTTTCTTACTGGCTTAACGTGATTGTGCTTGGATTGTACATGACGTTTTCTTCTAGCGGTAGTAAGACTCGTGGGAGGATCTCTATGAGTGTGTTTAATGGAATGAGAGAGTTTTTCCGGTTTGGTATCCCATCTGCTTCTATGATTTGGTATGAACAGCCTCTTTGGTTTTGTCATAGAGTAGTGTAACTACATTTGAACTGAGTTTAATGTATACATCTTTGTGTGTTATGGTGCTGAATCAGCCTTGAGTGGTGGTCATTCGAGTTTCTTGTCATGCTCTCTGGGATATTACCTAATCCGAAGCTAGAAACCTCTGTTCTCTCAGTATGGTATGTACTAAAGACTTGTGTACTAAAGTTTTTGAGGCAAAAAACAATTTAGTAAGAATTTTTATAAAAAAAAAAAATTTTTTTAGCAATTTGAGAGCCTATGATATGTATATTAAACTTTTTAAAATTTTTGGCCCTAAAACCAATGTTTCACTTTGCTGTCCATGACCGGTTCTGCTTGTATTGTATGTAGGAATGAAATATCATCATATAAACTCACTTGCTTGTTTCCTTGTTCAACAGTCTATCAACAATCTCCTCCTTATACCAAATACCAGAGAGTTTAGGCGCAGCAGCAAGGTTCTTTTGTCTCTTTTTCGATTTAACAAAAAAAGGAGGTATCTAAAAACTTAAGTCTCCTCTCTGTTTTGGTGTTGCTTGTAGTACAAGAGTTGCAAACGAATTAGGAGCTGGAAACCCTAAAAAAGCTCGAATGGCGGTTTACACAGTGATGGTTATAACAGGAGTAGAATCACTAATGGTGAGTGCAATAGTCTTTGGTGCAAGAAACGTGTTTGGTTACCTATTCAGCTCTGAAACCGAAGTTGTGGATTATGTAAGGACAATGGCTCCTTTGGTTTCTTTATCAGTCATATTCGATGCCCTACACGCAGTTCTTTCAGGTTACGTTCTGCTCTTTCTATGATGTTAAAGTCATTAATTAAGAGACTAGTTTTAATGAATGTTGAAGGATTGAAACAGGTGTGGCTAGAGGATCAGGGAGGCAAGACATTGGTGCATATGTAAACCTAGCAGCATACTATCTCTTTGGAATACCAACTGCTATAGTATTAGGTTTTAGGTTTAAAATGAGAGGAAGAGGACTCTGGATTGGTATCACAGTTGGGTCTTGTGTACAAGCTGTTTTGCTTGGTCTTATCGTTAGCCTCACCAATTGGAAACAACAGGTTAGTAGTAAATTACTGAAAGTGATGTACTTTTGATATATGTTTGTTTCATAGAGTTAATAGCAAAATGCCAAAATGTTTAGTCAATATGGGAGAGTTAGTGAAAGTGATGTCTATTTAATATATATGAATGATTTGGACAGGTGAGGAAGGCTAGAGAAAGAATGATGGGTGAGGAGTTTCAAGATGATGAACATGTAGGCATGATTAGTACTTAAAATCAAATAACATTTGATCAGTTTGTCATTTAATGTTGTGTACTTGTGTTTGTAGTTTTGGTTTTGTTGTTTTCTATTATAGTAATGAGTAAACTGCATGTGTACACACGTGCTCAACTTTTCTTCCCCTTTCAAAGGTTAGTAATAATTAATCAAATAATACTGTTTTTTCTACAATGCATGAAGATGCTCAAGAACAGTGAATCAATATCAAGAAAAGAGTTAAATGGATTCTAACCTCTCTGTTTTACTATAAACGACAAAACTAAACCATCAACAACGACCACAGACAAGGCTATTTATAAGACATAACTAAATCACCAAATTCCTAAGTTAAACACGTTTAGGCTAAAAGACCTAAAATCCATATGAGTATCATAACCATAAATAAACATTATTAAATAAGAAGATCCAAAATTGAAAACGTTAACTTCGTTTCTTGTGGGTCACTACATAAGATGGCGCTGCATTACTAAGTGAGACGTTGCTGTATCTTGAAGAGGTATAGAGTCATAACACGACACTCCTCTAGCTGCACAAATATAAATGACTACTACTACTATAGTACTACTACAACTACTATTATTACTATACTAAGTAGGGAGACTTTATTACTATTCACTACAAATCTCAAAGCTTCCGGAGCAGTCAGGAAAAATGGACACAGCAGAGAAGGGTCTACTCACCAAAGGAGAAGAAGAAGAAGAACTCAACAAGAGAGATGGGTTTTTCCCCGAGATGAGGAGGCTCAGTTACATAGCAGGTCCTATGGTTGCAGTGAACTCATCCATGGACTTTCTTCAAGTCATATCAATCATGATGGTTGGTCATCTCGGTGAGATTTATCTCTCAAGCACCGCCATCGCTGTTTCTTTCTGCAGCGTCACCGGCTTTAGCCTCGTTGTATGATCTCTTTCTCTATCTTCTCTTCTCTTGAACACTTATGTCTTAACCAAGTGGTGGTAGCCTAGTGGTAATTTCTTGGGGTTTGGTGTGTATCCACATCAGTTATGGGTTCAATTCCTTCTGAAAAATTAAATTATCATTACTTGGCCAGTGGCGCTTTGGACTAAATGGTTTACATGGTGGATCGTAACAGATGATGAGTTCACTCCCTGTCATTAGTCGAAAGGTAGTCCAAACTCGGGTCAGGCAGTGTGGTAGCCATTCCACTCTGTAGCTACTAAATGCGTTGCTCCTGGGACCGACCAGATCAGCTGATAGGATTTATCAAAAAAAAAAAACCTATGTCTTTATTGAGGACCAGCCCTCAGATTTTAGAGACTATAAACAATTTAATAAGATATTTAAATAAAAATAAATATATTTGAATTTATATTTATATATATATGTAAATTATTTATAAAATTTGGAAATATGAATTTTTCACATGTTTATGCCTAGGACTGATCCTGTTTTTTACAGTTTGGATTGGCTAGTGCGTTGGAGACGTTATGTGGACAAGCTAATGGAGCTAAGCAGTTCGAGAAGCTTGGAGAACATACTTACACAGGGATCTTCTCTCTGTTCATTGTCTGTATCCCTTTGTCTGTACTTTGGAGTTACATGGGTGAGATACTATCTTTCATCGGACAAGATCCTTTTGTTTCTCAAGAAGCAGGGAAGTTTGCCACTTGGCTCATACCAGCTCTCTTTGCTTACGCTACGTTACAGCCTCTTGTTGGGTTTTTCCAAGCGCAGAGTATGGTTTTGCCTCTGATTATGAGCTCAGTGTCTGCTCTGTGTTGCCATGTTGTTCTCTGCTGGACCTTGGTTTTCAAGTTTGGGCTTGGAAGCTTAGGTGCAGCTATTGCGATAAGCGTTTCTTATTGGCTAAACGTTATTGTGCTCGGATTGTACATGACGTTTTCAGCTAGATGTAGCAAGACCCGTGGGAAGATCTCAATGAGTATGTTTAAGGGAATGAGAGAGTTTTACCGGTTTGGTATCCCATCTGCTTCTATGATTTGGTATGAAGAACCTCTTTGTTTCTTTTTTTTTGGTTTTGTTCACAGAGTAATGATCATATCTTTGTGTGTTATGGTGTTGAATTAGCCTTGAGTGGTGGTCATTCGAGTTTCTTGTCATGGTCTCTGGGATGTTACCTAATCCGAAGCTAGAAACCTCTGTTCTCTCAGTATGGTATGTTTCTTATCTTCTAAAAACTTTGTTAACCCTAAGACTAAAGGCATCTTTATCGGGGGATCTTAGAGCATAATCATCGCGGGCGCTTAGGGGAAAACTGCTTAAGAAAAACAAATATAATAGTCGCCTCGATCCCACATATTTTAAAACATATGAGCTTCTGAGGCTTGTTTAAGCATCGGTGTTTGTTCAGTTCGCGGGCCACACTGACACGTGGTGGCCCGCAATTGGTTTCTTTTTTAATATTTTTTAAAAGCAAAAAAAAAACAAAAAAAAAATAAATAAAAAAGAAACAAATAAGCACCCCCTTGTGTTAATGGTATTATTAGGGTTTTTTTAGGGAAAAAAATTGATGTGGATCCCACTAAAAAAGAAGAAACGAGTCTTGTTGCCAAATAAGAATCGAGTCTTGCACTGTTTCGTGGATCCTACTAACACGTGGCGATCCACGGTTGGTTTTTAAATTTTTTTTTGATAAAAAAAACCAAATGAGTTTTTGAGAGAAAGATGCCCTTAGGGGGCCAAAAATGAAAAATTTTATTATCAATTTGGGAGCATATGTTTATTTATATTAATTCTTAAAAAAAGTTGGAGATTTAAGGTCAATGTTATACTTCCCCACTAGATTTTGTACCTTCATTTACTAAATATAAAAATTTAATATATTTTAACAATTTTATTTTCTGTAAATTTTATTACATAACTTAAGAATGTTTAATATTTTTAAAAGTTAAATAATATTTTAATCACTAAAATAGTGAATGATATTTTATTTATGAATTTATTTAAATGATTTTTTTTATTTTAAATATATTAGTTTACCAATTTAATATAATTTTATATGTAATTCATTTATTATTTCTATTTTAATATAATATAGTCTATACTTATAAAATTCGCATATTGTATATTATATTTTGTTTATAATGAATTTTTAGTTAAGATTAATTTATAATAATATTATACTACTAATTATGAAAATAATCAGTGCATTAATTGAAAAAAAACTATTTAAATTTCAAAAAGATTTTGTTAGATTTTTTCTCAACAGATTTTGTGATTACTAAATCCAAAATTTAAAATTACAGTTAAAATAAATTTGTTATTAATATCTTTATAATTATTTAGAAATATTATATATTAAATAAAGTAATGTAAATAATCAAAACAATGTAATTAAATATATGGACCTAGCATGACTATTCTATAGTAGATAAAAATGGTACTTCTCTTTTAATAGAGAAGATGCTCATGACCGGCTCGGCTCGTGTTTTGGAATGAAATATCATCATCATATAAACTCACTTACTTGCTTCCTTGTTCAACAGTCTATTAATAATCTCATCCTTGTACCAAATACCAGAGAGTCTAGGCGCAGCAGCAAGGTTCTTTCTTTATTTAACAAGAGATGAGAGATATCTAAAAACCACCTGATCATATCTGTCTCTATGTTTTTTTTTGGTGGCTTGCAGTACAAGAGTTGCAAACGAACTAGGAGCTGGAAACCCGAAAAGAGCTCGAATGGCGGTTTACACAGTGATGGTTATGACAGGAGTAGAATCATTAATGGTGAGTGCAATAGTTTTTGCTGCAAGAAACGTATTTGGTTACCTATTCAGCTCTAAAACTGAAGTTGTGGATTATGTAAGAATAATGGCTCCTCTGGTTTCTTTATCAGTCATATTCGATGCCCTTCACGCAGTTCTTTCAGGTTAGAATCTGATCCTATAATGTTGAAGTCATCAACTAATTAAGAGACTAGTTTAATGAAATAATACAGGAGTGGCTAGAGTATCAGGGAGGCAAGATATTGGTGCATATGTAAACCTAGCAGCATACTATCTCTTTGGAATACCAACTGCTATAGTATTAGGTTTTAGGTTTAAAATGGGAGGAAGAGGACTCTGGATTGGTATTACAGTTGGGTCTTGTGTACAAGCTGTTTTGCTTGGTCTTATCGTCAGCCTCACCAATTGGAAACAACAGGTTAGTAAATTACTGAAAGTGATCTAATTTGATATGTTGGTTTCAACATTTAATGATTGTTAAAGCACAACCATGATTAGTCAATCTAAGAGAGTTAAGTGAACGTCATGTCTATTTAATATTCATATGAATCATGTGGGAATTGTAGGCGAGGAAGGCAAGAGAAAGAGTGATGGGCGAGGAGTTTGAAGACGATGAACACGTTGAGATGATTAGTTAAACTCAAGAGTCATGTCATTTAATGTTGTACTATGTTATGATGAAATGAGTCTTGCATATACAACATATTTTACGCATTATTATTAGTATTATTATTATTTATTTTGTGTACTGTTATATATCATAAAATAAAATTAATAAATATATATTGAATAATTAAGAAATCAAACCATTATGTATATAATTAAATTAGCATGAGTAGATTATCTAAACAAATTACAATCAGTTTATGAAAAATATGTATATGATATATTTAACGCGTTGCAAATTAAACCCCTGGAAAATTTTTAAGGTTCTTCTTAAGTTTCAGTACCTAAGGCAATGCCCTGCTTTGTGTGTGTTTGAGTGACATATATAGGAAATGAAATAGTTGCACATATATACTACTAAATCTTGTCAACTGGTAACACTAAACCCTATTTCATGATGCAATAACAATAATTTCCGAAATGAGAAATCCAAAAGAAATCAAGAATCAGAAAATGTGGAAAGTTTTTCCTACAATCCATGAAGATGCTCAAGAACAGCCGTAAAAACATTACTTCAGCAAATCATTACCGAATGTGAAGGATTAGATAAAATATTCTGTGGAGCATGATGTCAAGAAAGAAGCTCTGTCTTCAAATCACTTGAACCATCTCCACAGACCGGATACAAGTGTATTCTATCAGACCATGCATTCCTGTCTTTTGAATCAATCTCGGAGATGCATTTCCAGACAGCAGTGTTAGCCTTAAAGCCACTTCCAAACCCAATCTGCCACACTCTATCTCCCTTTTTCATTCTACCTTTGGCTTCCAAGTATTGCAACTCATACCACAATGAAGAGGAAGACGTGTTCCCATACCGATACAATGTTGACCTCGACGCTTCTACATCTTCTTTATCCAACTTCAGATGCTTCTCCACACCCTCAATTATAGCCCTCCCCCCAGCATGTATACAAAAATGCTCAAAAGCTTTCTTGAAGTTGGGTGTGTATAATACTTCCTTCTGAACTCCCCATTTTCTTTTAATAAATGAGATTATGTATTTGACCTGCTCCGAGTAAGGTAACACTTTAGGACCTAACTCCACCACGTTGATCTTCAAGGCCTTTGATGCTACCTTCACAAGCTGCTTAGACAAAGCTACTCCCACATTTCCTTCCTCATCAATCTGCTGCATTACACTCTCATATGATTCATTGTCTGATCCCACATGAGTTCTAATAAGATGCTGGAGTTTATACTTAGCCTTATACTTGTCTTGCTCCCTGTTGGAGAGAAGAATAGCTGCCCCACCCATTCTGAAGATAGTGTTAGCAATGAGCATTGACTTACACTTCCCTCTATAACCATTTGGACTCACAGCTTCCATACTCAACACCAACGCCGTAGAATCACCATGTACCTTCATAAGATCTTTCACAAGGTTTATCGATAAAAGCCCCGCGCTGCATCCCATCCCACTCAAGCTAAAGCTCTTTATGTCACTCCTCATACCAAACCGGTTTATAATAATTGAAGTTATAGATGGAGAAGGACAAAAGAGGCTACAATTAGACACAAGAATGTCAATACTCTTAGGATCTATCTTGTGCTTCAGGAAAAGATCTTCAACAACATTGAAGAGTATCTCATGAGTCTCTTCTCTAGCTGCTGAGAGAGAAGAGTTCGGTGGAATCTCATGGACCGTCACGGGAACGCTAGCGTCATCACTAATCCCTGACCGCTCTAGAATCTTTTGCTGGAGATCAAGACTTTCTTTGTCGAACACACCGGATATGGTAAGATGTTCGATGAAGTTGGAGACGGGAGCTCGTAAGAAGTCTGGTGGTTGGTAACATGAGAAGTCAATGAGGTATATGGATCTTGGTTTGAAGAAATAGTAACTAAAGATGGCTATGATGACGCAGGCTGATGCTACCTGAGGTAAGATGTTGATGAAAGGAGAAGTCGAGTCCATGTTGGTGGATCGGAACTGAGAAAAGAGAGAATCAAGATGGTGGAGAAAGGGACTTTGTGTGTTTTGTGTGGGTTGCGAGGTTGTTGCATCACAGGGTAAGCATGTGGAGGGGACGCAAGTTCAGTTCTCGTGACCTTATCATTTGCATGATTTCAAGGGAAGTGAACATTAACGTGTTCGAAGACAAGACAAGTCTCTATTTTAGTTAAGTACTCATGGTTCTAAAAGTTCGCCGAAAGATTTTCTTTTATAAAAATCAGTTTGTACGATTCAGTTAAACCGATTTTACTGTTTAAACTGACCTAAATTAATCTGCTAAATTAAATAATAACTAGATCTTGACCCGCACAACCGTGCGGGTATTTTAATATGAATTTTTTTGAAATTATAAAATATTTCCTCCGTTTCAAATTAAATAATGTTTTAAAAGATTTATTCTTTTCAAAATATAAGATGTTTTAAGATTTTAAGATATATTTTGAGGTTTTAAGGTTACTTTTAACTCTATTGGAAACTTTTCAACCAGTAAAATTTTATTGTAATTTTAATAATTGGTTGAATGATTTTAAAATTCTATCTTTAAAAATATTTTTGTAAAAGAATGTAAATTTCTTAATCTTTGCAATGATCCAAAACATCATATATTGAAAAACGGAAGGAGTAAAATTTATCAATAAATAAATATAATTTGATTTTGTATACTATCCAATTTTATAATAATATTTTTGGGGCTTATAATATTATTAATGTAAAATTTATAAATTTGTATTTTTGTAACAGTTTTTAAAAACATTATTATGTAACATTACTAATTTATTTTTTATTTTTAAATTTGAAATATATGTAAAAAGTAAATTAAGTTGGACCTTCATAATACATAAACATAATTTTAATTATATTTTATGATAATTAAAATTTTAATTAAATAGTTTTTGAAACTATATATTGAAAAGATTCTAAAAGATTTTGTGAGAATCTTCTTAAAATTATTTATTTGTATTTCAAATAAAAATTCAAGATATGTAAATATATTATAATAATGTTATGTAAAACTTTATAATATATAAAGATGGTCAAAACTAAAAAATCACACATGAAATAAGTCATGACTTCTCTTTTAATATAATAGATGTTAGTACTGTTTAACTTCTTTTGTTTTGTGTCTAGCATTTGATGATTTCTCGAAATAATTTAATAAAAAAACTAAAAATAATATATAAAATTAAATAATTAATATATTTATTCTTATTGTTCTTTTTGAACATTGGTTTAGACCATGATTAATCCGAGTTCTTAGGATGGAGTTAGTTTAGGCTAAGAACTATTTATTAATTTTTAATTAAGAAAAACTAGAAACTATCTTTTAAATAAGAGATATAAGAATCGATTTTAAATGAAAATATAACAAAAAAATATCAAATTATAGATACTCCAAATAAAAAATTTGAGTTAATTATGCTCTAAAACATTAACGAAGATCAGATTAATAACTAAAATTATGCAACAAAAATCAAAATCCAGAAAAAGACAAAAGTGATTTATCAATAAAATAATAATAATTATGAATTATCTTCGTCTCTCAGACTCAGAGATTCTTCAATTCAATCGTTCGTTCTCAAATGGAAACTCCATACCCTCAGCTCATCACTCCCTCAACGACTCGTATCGGATGGATCGGCATCGGAATCATGGGATCCGCCATGGTCTCACACATCCTCGCCGCAGGCTACTCCGTCACCATCTACGCACGCGACCTCGACAAGTCAACGGACCTTCAAACCAAAGGCGCCCGCACCGCCACCACCCCGAGAGAGCTAGCTGAGGTAAGCGACGTCGTTTTCACGATGGTTGGAAACGCCAACGACGTCCGGTCACTCCTCCTCGATCCCGACAGTGTACTCTCAGGTCTCAGACCGGGAGGAGTAACCGTCGACATGACCAGCAGCCAGCCTGCACTTGCGCGTGAAATTTGATATATAGTGTTTTTAATAGTTTTTAACATCTTTTTCTTAATCATATTAGTGTTTGGAGTTGCATTTAGTCGTCTAGATTGCATATATGTTCATTTGTATGCATTAGGGGTTGGAATGCACATCTTGGAAGTTTATGGCAAAATTTATGGGTTAAATTGCTCATTATCGAAGTATGGGGCAAGAAATAGAAGTAACACAAAGATAAGGGACCTTTAAGCAATTCGGAGGTGGTCTTGATTTTACAATCGAAAGTTGTGGGGCTAATTCAAAGGTCGTTTTGCACATTACAAAAGTATTGGGGCCAAAGTTAAGATATCCAAAATTGTGAGGACCTGTTTTGCAAATAATGGAAAAGTCACCATAGGAGCTCTTCGATCTGTTTCTTGCCGGACCGGGTGTTGACGACGGCGAGTTGGCTTGGCCACCGTAGAGCTGATCTCGACGAAGAGCACACCCACGACGGAGCAAGACTTGACGCCATGGAGAAGAGATGGAGGTGTTACGGCTGTGGGTACGGTGGAGAGCTTCGACGGAGGAAGAAGGGCAGTGGCTTGGAGTGATGAGCACGAGCACCGGAAAGCAAAGCACAGCCACGAGCTGAGAGATTCCATGGTGGATGGCGTGGAGGAGGGCTCCGACTTGGATCCGTGACGGGAAGCGACGACGGTGAGCCTGCTGCGGAGTGGAGCCGGTGGTCACGAGCTGAGAGCAAAGACGCCACGGAGGCGAACATGAAGCTTGAGTTCATAGCGACTTGGTGTAGCGGGAGAGACACGTCGCTAGGCACAACACCGTGAGCCATAGCGACTCAGCATAGCGGGACGAGTTAGTCGCTACGGAGAAGACATGTCTCAATTTTAAAACGTTGACCGGTTTATTCCGGTTTGACCTGGTTTAATTAAATTAAACCAGCACGATTTTGGACTCCCTATATATAGTTTTAGACATCAAAAACCCTAAAGTATCTCATTTTCTCTCAAGAACTTGTTTCTAATTGTAAAAGCTTGAACATTTTTATCATTTTAAGGAAGTATTTCATCTTATATCTTGTTTCTCATTCTCATTAACATGATTAACCTTGAATCTCATATGGGTTTAAGGTTTATCATGGAGATTTTTGAGTAGACAATTATTGAATCCATGGGTTAGGTAGATTTAAGATAATTAGTGAAGGGTTAAGGTGTTTATTGTTAGATCTACTTGTTTTTATGCTTACTAAGTGTTTTTAATGCTAGATTAGACTTGATCACTCTCATCTAGACCTTAAGCTATTTTATACCCGGAAGGTGTTTGTTAAAATGCTTGAATGAACTTAGTATTGCTCTAAACTTACTTAACCAAAGAGATTTGATGTTAAGAAAGCTTAGATGGTTAGTAGACTAAATCATAATGTTTGTTTAGATAACATTCAACCTAAGAGATTAGATGTTTGAGTTATCTTTGCAAAAGGGCATCCATCTTGAGAAAGAGTTTGTCT